ACAGATAACAATAGAAACTATTCAATAATATGTAAAGATAATATAAAAGGCAAAAGAAGGAAAAAGAAAAGGTTGTAGCTAAATTGGTTGATTAGGTTGGGGTAGCAAATTTATATGGAGTTTATCCAAAAAGCACTTTTCTTTTTTTTACAAATATATTTTTAAGCTTTCTTAAAGCGGATACAGTTTTTTTAAAATTTGAGGCAAAAAAAGAAAACAAAAGCATTTCTATTTTTTTGGTTCAAAATTGCTTTAAATAATTTTATGATAAAAAATTTATGCTTAAACATAATTATATAATTGTTGAAACAATAATAAATCTGATAGAAAAAAAAAAAAAAACAGAAAAAGAAAGTAGAAAACTTACGTTGGTATTAAAGTTGACGAAATTTGTTGTGCTGATAGAACTGTCGATAGTGTAACGGTGATTAGCAGCAAAATTTGTACCAATGATAATCGCATTTTCCTCTTCTATTTTTTTTGCTTCTTATTTTTTGTTTCCTGTTTTTTTTCTTGTTTTTCTTCCTTTCTCCCTCTGTTTTGAATACCTTTAATACACTTTTTTTTAAAAGTAGTCTTAGATGCAAAAAGCAAAAAAAAAAAAGGAATGAAATTTTTGAATTTTGTGTATAAACTATTTAAAATTTTTTGACCGAATATATAAAAGAGGGCTGAAAAATTTTTGTACAAACTGAAAAACAAAAACAACAATTAACCGATGAATGATTTGGGGCTGTATAAATACTGTTTTGTTGATGGTGGATATACAGTTGACAGCTTATTATTATTATTATTGTCAAATTGTCATCATCAATATTGAAGGCTAAAAAAAAAAAAGCCAAGAAACAATAACTTTGTTTTTTTTTTTTTTAGCTATACCATTTAATCTGAAATTTTTCATTCTTTCTTTTTTTTATTATTTGAAGCAAATGATTGATATAGCAAAAAATAATTTGTTGTTATTGTTCTTTTTTTTTCGTTACCACTGCTGTTGCTGCTGCTGACGATGATGACGATGATTCTGATGTTGTTGTTGGTGTTGGTGTTGGTGTTGATGATGGTGATGGTGATGGTGATTCAGTTGTTGTCTACTAGTCTAAGATCTTTTGTTTCTAAATTCTAATTCTTCATATTGGTTAGTTTCAAAAAAAAAAAAAAAAA